TTTCTTTTTTTTTTTTTTTTTTTTTTTTTTTTTTGTGTTATTGAACTTATCAAGAATGTTGCTCCTTTGGCTTAATGGTCAATGAAGCGAATGCAAATAGATCAGGGTTGAAATCCCATTTTTACAATTAATAAACACTAGGCTAAAGTCTTGGTACTGAGTTACTAGATACCAGTGCTAGTTGGAGTTGGAGGTAACAAGTACCCAATGAAATAGCTGGTAGGTACCGGTGGAATAGTCGAGCTGCCCACGGGCTAAAGTCTTGGTACTCGATACCGGTGATAGTTGTAGTTGGAGGTAACAAGTACCTGATGAAATAGCTGGTAGGTACTGTTGGAATAGTCGAGCTGCCCACGAGCTTGTACGATCACTACTGTTATTAGTAAGAAAAAAAAGAATGTTGCTCCTTTGGCTTAATGGTCAATGATGCGAATGCAAATAAATCAGGGTTGAAATCCCATTTTTACAACAAAAAAACACTAGGCTAAAGTCTTGGTACCGAGTTACTCGATACCTGTGCTAGTTTGGAGTTAGAGGTAACAAGTACCTGATGAGATAGCTGGTAGGTACTGGTGGAATAGTCGAGCTGCCCACAAGCTTGTATGGTCACTAGCGCGGTATTAGTAAGGAAAAAAAAAAGAATGTTGCTCCTTCATGGAGGACCCCTAAGCTATTTTCTGTGTTACATTTAGTGTTTAAAACATGCTTCTTTGTCTCTCTTTTTTTGCCGAGTAAATGGCGTAGTGCACTTGTAGTTCACCAACTGTTGTGCAGATTTCAAATGGCTAGCATTCTATGGAGACTTGACAGTTAATTCTTACAGTTAAGATGAGTTCTAACCAGAACAAAGCCTTTCGGTCCAACTACTCGTTAGATCTTCCTATTTCCACTCTCCTCAATTCGCCCACCCCCCAAATACCCCATTAGCAAGAATGGAGAAAATTTAAAAGGTAAAAACCCAATTAGCAGTTAAACTGGATTCTAGGGCTTTGGTCTAGTGGTTAGAGCGCAACGTGTGATGCGTAGGTTAGGCGCCATCTCGAGTTCAAACCCGCCGTAGACAAAAGTTATTTGAGTGGAGAAGAGTAGAGGGCGAGCCCATTATTCATCGAGCTTCAGAACGTGCGCCACTAGCCCTCGGGATTTCTCATGTATCAAAAAAAATTCCATAGTTAAACTGCTAAGACATTTCCAATTAGCCTACCAAACTTTACCTAATAGTGATATCATGTGGGTTGGATATCAAGACTCTTCTCTATAAATTATTTACTATATTTGAAATCAATTACTTCGCAGCCTTTGTCCTGAAGGAGAAAAAGAAAAATTACATTGGGGTGCGTAAAAGGAAAACAACTGGGCTTTTCTACCCTCTGAAAATCTTGCTTAGTTTTGACCAATACCATAATATACAAAAAGACACATGTTCAAAATGCTGATATAGCATTAGAAATACAGTTAAATGACTCCTATAGAGTGTTAATATTTCAATTTGGTTTCTATATTTGTCTTTACGTGAAGATTCGCATCTTGATAAGGAGCAATTTCAGTAACTTGAGATAGCATCAAATTTAGCTTTACCTTAATAGTCACAAGATATTGCCTTCTCCTTTTGCATGACACAAGCAAGTTTATTCACCTATCCTAAAAGAGAATGACACTTGCAAGTTTAGTTCAATTCCTTTACTGCTATAATTGATGTTGTGTTGTGCTTCAGTTCTTCATTATACGCTTTTCTTTGCTAAAGCGTTCACTTCGAGCTTAATCTCCCAACCAATTTTGGCAGTTTTCGGTGTTTTTCGCTTTAGCAACACTAGCAAGAATTTCTAGGGCAGATTCATGATTAGTATTTAACTGGATGAGCCTGGGAAAATCTGGACAAGATGGCTTCGGATTGTGAAAGATACGCTACTGACTTAAGTTGGAGAAAAATTGAAAGAAGGCTGAATCTGGTGCTATTTTGTTACCATTAGTACCAAGTGAATTGTTGCTGGAGTACTAGAGTTCCTAAGTCTCTGCCCTTATCCTTTTCAAAAAAAAACGTCTCTGCCCTTACCCTTCCTTTCCCTACCCTGAAAGCTCGAACAAACACAATATTACTCTGTCAACGGAACATAATTTTTCAGTAACAATATGCAATCGAGATAAGATATTGAAGTACTGTCTGATATCTATCTTTCAGGTTAAGTGCAGATGTACTTAGCAATAAAAGAATTAAGTGTTCCTAGAGACCTACATATTCATTCCAAATTGTGTGATAATGTAACTATTTTCTCTTGTTAGTTGCCTTTACCTCCTTTTTCTTTTAACAAAATTTATTTGAGTACGGGGTTTCACTCTTTGTTTGGCTGAAACAAGGACAAGTTATCTTGTTGGACGATTTCTCCTTTTCTTGTCTTTATTATCTGTATTTGGATTCAAATTGTCATAGATTTTTCCAACCAAGAGAACCAAAAGATACAGAAAGGAGTGTTCTTTATTTTTTTTTTTTTTTTTTTTTTTTTTGGGGGGGG